AGATATTACAAGGGGGAAACACATTGTGTCTAAACACAACAGTATTCTATGGACCGACAAATTTCAATCCTAGATATCTTTTTGATTTCCCTGTCTACAGTCTCTTCAGCTGTACCACTGCAGACACACTCTTACAGAAACTTCCCCATCACTGCATTTTGGTGCTCAGACTCACCCTCAGAAGCACAGACAGCACATAAAGCCAGCTCCCAAAGTAAGGCATTATAAATACCCCCTTATGTGTAAGTCTCCAAGATAGCAAGTGCGGCACAATGTTTCTGCCTAACTTTTCTATTTCTGCACAGTGGAAAGTCTGGAAGACAGAGGCAACAAGAAATCTCAACCAACAGTCTCTTGCTGCCTACCCACAGGAAGGCAGGAAGCTGAAAAACTGAGCAAGGAGGAGCCTGGATGCCAAAAAAGCAATTCGCTATAGATTGGCCCTTTGCCTGAAAGACAGAAGGAGGAACACCCAGTGTCTGCACTGGCACAAACTACATACCAGAAAACTGAAATTCAACCCATGCCAAGTTACACTTTGAAAAGCTAAATGCACGTAGGCCAGTGAAAACAAAATTAGATAGGAGTTCAGGATATGAAAAATTAATAAGACAAGTTTGGTTTTGCATGAAAGTCAGCTTAGAAAGACAAACTGAAAGTGAAAGAGGGATTAATAAAAATTTTCATGCCAAGAATCAGATGGAAACCACAGTTGCTGAGCTGTTCAAGTGTTCAGGAGAATCAAGATCAAGCCATCTCCATTTGAACTGCATCATTTGAAGTATAGTTTAAGTACTAATTATCCTGAACACTGCAAAGACATAACCACTGAGATACACTACACATTCCTACAGCCCTCTGATAACATTACAACGGCCACTGCCTCTTCATCTTTAAAGCTGGATTTATCCTTTTAAATTATGTTTGAAAACAAACAAATAAAGAGCCACCTACACACTATAAACATCTGTTTCTTCGCGTTTATGGCACTTCACATAGCATTTGTGCTCAGGAGATGGCTAACTCCCAAGACCTAGTAGGTTCCATGCAGTTCCCAAACTGCAGAACCTTCCTAGTGCTTGTCCAAGTGACAAAGAAAACGGGGAACAACACAGCCCACATGCACTAAAACACCAGCAAATGCCACTCTACAATTGACAGTATTACAGATAAATTAAACACCCTCTTAAAAACTAACCGTAACTTTTAAATACCACTTTGCTGCATTTCCAGGAGTGTATTTGAATGCTTCAAAGGCTTATTGAAAAGCTAAGTATCACTCAATTTTCCTCTCTGTTCACACCCTTCCCCACTATGTAACCAGTTTTTACACTGCATTTTCTGGTTAGCACACTCACACAGCCCTTTTCACAAAATGCTGGGTGAGAAAAGGTGTGAAGCATGAGAGAAGATCTATGCAAGATACTCTGAACATAAGGAAGAGCACATAAGAGCAGCGAAATTGTTTAACTGTGCACTACTATATTGTGCATGAGATCAAACAGCTGCACAACAAATTACTTCTTTTTCTGCCTTCTTGTGTGTGTGCTTTTTTGGGGTGGGATTTTTGTTTGTTTGAGAGTTTGGGATTTTTTTCAGGGAATAAAGACATTGCACGTCTTCAGCACTGTTTTCAGTTTTCCTTGGTTGCTAAGGCAGCTCCACCTCTGGCTGTGTGTCCTTCAAACACCCATGTAACATTTTAAAACAGGCATCTTTTGAAGTGCTTTGATTCGAGTTACCTGTCCAGACACATCAAGTAAGCATTTGCCTCAATGGAACCACTAGAATAATTAGGACAACTGGAATTCCCTTACAAAGTGTACCTTATACTACTCATTACACTTTATACGATGTAGAGCCTTAGCCACCCAACAGCTGCTGACAGCTACCAATCTTCCAACGGAATCTGTCCTTCCATGAGCCTTGAACTTACACCTCCTCTTATAGAGGTGCAAAAGTAATCCTACACACACTAGGGAATGCAAGTGATGGAGGAAGAGAAGATTTAAACAGCTGCACTGTATGCTTCCTCTTGCTGTAACTGAGAGTTGACACACCTTTGCCCAAATCCAGACGAGTCAGGGTAACACTTGAAGGAAACACACCATTTTTACACCAGAGGTTTCTGCCAGGCCTATGGATAACAGCAGGAAACTTGGTAACATGAGCTGCATTGCTGTAACTAACTGCAACTATTTCTATATCTAATGAAAGAAGAGGACTATTTAGTTGCATTGGATCACCCAGTTAATATAGAGACAAGAAAAGCAGCTCCATATCATCACCACTAAGAGGAAGATTTAGCACTTCCAGTTCCCTGTTCCAAGTATTCAATAGAATGCAAAACACTCAAAACTCCCACCACATAGTCAAGGCTCCTGGTCTGCACAACCAAATCCAGTTTCTTATGCTTTGGATGGGTGGAGGAAACAAACAAAATCCAAAAACCAAACAACAAAAAACCAAACAACAATCCCCACACAACACAACCATCCTCCCACACACAGGCCATACTATCTCTCTTCTCATTACCTTTTACTCAGGAAGGAGATTCAGAGTCTGCATTTGGTACTGAGTGTGAATGTTCCAACTGACAGAGAAAGCTCTGATGCACTTCCAGTGTACTAAACCTTTTAAATGTCTCATCCTGATGAGATGTTAATTATGCATTAAAAAAGAAAAATAATCAATATTACTCAAACTTCCACAGCCTTCAAAAGAGATTCCTGTGCATCCCTCCATTTGTTCTCCTCCTCAAGAGAAGTCAACAGAAGAGATACTAGAACATCACCTATTATAAACAAAACAAAAAAACAAGCATACAGAAGTAGCCACCTGAACTAGAAAAACATTTTTTACTTGTGCTAGCTATAGAAAGAGCCAAAGAAACTTTTAAAATACACCAATCTCTTCAAACACTAGCCATTCGCAAGAGATAACAACTGGATACGTTTATTGTATAAATTTCAACAAATAATCTTAACATGTCCCATACTGTCACTTAAATACTTCCAATACAAATAGCCTAACAGCTTTCCTGCAGTGTCATTCTGCTTATTCATGAATTAACATCATTTTCAAATGAAGATGCAGTCACATCCTGGTAACAGGGACACTTAGGTGCAGTTACTTTCAGAACTGACCCTTAAGAGTATTTAAAGCCATACAGCTTGAAGAACAGCAAAAATCCCATATTCAAAACAAGTCTCTATATTTGCCCAGTAGCCTGGGCCACAATTAGTAAAACTAAATGGTGCACTGCACTAGTAGGAAACTACTGACACACCAACCTCACTTTAAACTATTTCTGTCAGGAAAAAAGTGTGTGCTGAACAGCTTTTAAACACGCAAGTCACGCTGCTAATTTTGAGGCACCCAAATGAAAGCTTATTTCTTGCCAAAGCACTTGCTGGAGAACAGATTTGTTTGGCTAACTTCTAGAAGACAGATTTATCCTCATACCAGTATTTTAGTATGGCAGTAATGGCTTTTTCAGCACCATGACCCAAGTAACGTTCCTTGCAAGGGATGCCAGTCCCAGTAGGTAGCCTAACAAGGGAGTTCTTCGTTTCCACAGAATTCATGTATTCAACTAAACTATTTTGGTTGCTCAGTACTCCAGCCTTCAAATTTTTCATGCCATTACAGTATCAGAATTGCAGAAGAAACTCGGAAAGCCCTCAAACAGACAGCTTTATCACTACAAGTAATTAAATCTTTATAGTGTATGACTACAGCAGTAATTGCACAGTACTGACACTGCTGAATTTCCATGCTGATTATTGAGCGTGAAGCCCTGTGCATCCTTCAAACACTCCAGAAGTCCAATTTGACAGAAATAGATGTCCATAAAAGCAATCATATTTAACATCTATTTAGAGGAGCTCACAAAAATCAAGCTACAACTACGGACATCTCTAGTGTCACCTCTGACAGTTACACAAACAACTATTCTTGTAGACTTAAATAATTGTAACACGAACATTTTCTACTCTGCACCCTCCAGCATCTAACAATTAGCAAGGGAAAAATACGATTGAAAACCACCATGCAGTTTCTAGGAGACACTGATGGCACCTCTGCAGGCAAAGCTGTCTGAATTATTCCATGCCTAAAAGAACTTCCATCAAACTTCACCACTGAGAAGTGAAAAAATAAACAAACCACCAACTTACAAATATTTTAAGTAAGCCAATTTGACTACAACAGGTAACTTCTTTCCCCAAGTACACTGAAAATTCAAAACACACTTCACCATACTAAATGGGAAATGATCAAAGAATGCCTACAGACATGTCTTTGACACTATCCTTGCATAAGCAAAACACTAATTGATAGTCCCTTCTCCCTCAAGGCTTAAACCAGGTGAACAATTAACTCTAAAACAAGATCCATGTAATAGCAAAAATAAACCCAGGCAGGGAATCCAACATAACTGAAACAGGAGGATTCTGCAGTATAGCTCAAACAGTCACTCTAACACCTTCCAGTTCTACAATATTTACATATTAACTGTAATGTTAAAGCTAACTACCTACATGTAAGTATCTTTAAAAATAATAATTCTAACAGTCAAACATCACAAGTCCTATCAGTAGTATTTCAGGTGGTGTTCAAACCACAAGAAAACCAGTATGTCCAGGCAGAAAATAAAGGCAAAATGCCACAATAAAATCACACTGCAAATTTCAGCCAGGCAAGACAGAACAACCTCACATCTACAACAGAGCCCACAGCTGTACTCTTCCCTGCTGCTCTGTTCATCTATCAAAAACCCACGGAGCAAACCATCCAAAGCAGAATGGCAGGACATAGGGAGCTAAGTAAACTTCATTTACCAGAACTGATGCTGCACCGATCTTCCACATGCAGTCACACTTATACACACTGAAATGGGTAAATGAAGTACAACAAGAATCCTTATTTTTTCACTAGGCGAATAAACAAAGAATCACAATTTTTGTATTATTGCATTAGCTCTCATTCTCCCAACTTACCTGGTCCTTTTCATGGGGTAGAAGGCTGACAGGTGGAAGAGAAGCTGGGAAGGTGCTGGAATATTTTGGAGCTCCTTTGTTTTCCAAACTGCCATAATTCACTCTGTACTGAGGACCATCCTTCAGTAATCTCCCATTGTTCACAGCCCGTTTGGCGCCCAGACGCAACCTCTGCTGAAAGGCAGGATTGTTGAAAATACTTGCTAGGTCATTTTGACTTCTCAAATACTTCTCTATGTTTTTGAGGGAGGAGCCATTAGGTTCTTGAAGCCCTTCAATTGCTCTTCTCAAGAGTTTATTCCAATCCACATTACGAAGCTCGTTACAAGCTCCCCTAGATCCCTTAACAGACTTGGGAATAGTGCCAGGTTTAACACATGAAAACCGTCCGGGATTATCTGGGTCCTTGTAGGATGCAAGACCTTTGTTAGTAACTTTGAGAATAGAACCATCTTGAACACTAAGTTCCAACTGTTCCGAAACAGTCTTTTTATCTAATCCATGGGAAGCACAAACAGCATGACATATTCTCTCTTCAGAAGGCCTTTGCTTTTGTTTCTTAACTTTTTGTATAGCTTCTAGAATCCACTCCGTATAAAGAGGGTTGGCAAGTTTTACCATGGTTGACCAGTAATTGTTTCCAGCCAAGAGTTACCCATAGAGGTTCCTCCTTATCCTTTTAGCAGATCTTTCAGAGGTTGTTCACACCTCAAACACAAATGAAGGATTCCACACACTGCTTGGAGGCATCTCAAAAATATCCACCCTGAGGAGTCGGCAAAGGCAGGGAAACACCTGCTGACTGAACCTTCCAACTACTTTGCTGTTATGGAAAGGCAGAAAGGATTCATCTGGGATGATACTGGTACGTCCCTACAAGAAAGTCTGTTGCAACCTTTAAAAAGAAAAAGACAAGAGGCAGGGAGAGAATACAGTTAATGCTGTATTTAAAAGAAACAATGTATTCAGACATGCATTTGCACTGTATACGCTGCACGATACATATAACCCTTGTGAGATTATATGAAATACTCACCACCCCACACCACATGAATCATCATAAAATTCTCCTACTTCTCATCACATTCGGTGGATTTAGCTTTCCTAAATTCCATCACCCTAACACTGAACCTATTACTGACTTGTTGGACAATTCCCATTCAGCCTGGGATCTGAAAATGTTCTCTAAACCAAACTGCCTACAAGTCACTTCTGCATGGATTACATATCCACTACAAAATCCAAACAAACCAAAAAAATCCAAACCCCAACCAATGAAAGTTACACTACTAATCACTGTCATTCCTTATAGTATATGCTGTGTCATGCCATGTTGACTATACAACTCCAAAAAAATCTAATGCAAACTATCAGAACCAAGTTCCTACTAGTACATCCTTAATTAATACTCAGGTTCCCTACAAGACCAAAACAAATCGCAAAGGCATTTATTGTTCTAAGGTGTGCAGTACAGAGGCATTTTGGATACAAACTGTTAGGAAGAGGAATGAACATGAACTCACAGGAGGCATTTTTGCATACATACAGTGTCAGCACCGACACATAAAGAGGTCACACTGATAAAATGTGTTTTGGTGACTTGCAGTTTAACAAACAATTTCATTTACTCATTATGGAATATATCACTCCAATAGAAAATTCAGTGGCTACAAAAACTTAAAGAACCCTGAAAGAACATCTCTACTGGGTGCTTATTCATTCTGTGGTAAAATACATGGAAAAAAACCCTAATAAATTTTAAAAGTCACACAAATTAAACTAAAACAGCAATCACCCAATGAATAAACAAATATATTTGAGGCATTAGTTTTTCCTGCCATGAAGTGTGAGAACTTTTGAAGACATTAACAGAATTGTATTAATTACTTCAAATCAAAGGAAAACAAAAAACAGAAGAAAATCTTCATTCTTAATAAATGGGTTATCTTGGCAAGTAGAAGACTCGTCAGTTTCACAGCAAAATCTTAAATTACTTATTCTGCAACTACACTTACAAAGCTATAGCAAGCAGCCTATAAATAACAATATCATTTATGATTACACAAGCCTTGGACCTCATCTTTATTCTTTTATTCGAATCATCTTGCATTTCAATCAAGTTCTACAAACTATAATAGGAAAGAAACCTAAATTGATGCAGTAATCTAAATTATTTTCAGCTTGTTAAAAAGATTCCCCTGCAATTTTGAAGGGAATGAGTACAAAACGAACTACTTTTGGTCCCACACCTTCTCTTCCCCCTATCCCCTCAAAGATATCTTTAAATATAAACTCCAGATTGTATTCCACACATTATTATAGCTACACATCAGGATTAGTAAAAAAGAACATCTGATTACTGGCGAATATAAAACTCTTCTATACCCAAACAGTCAAAATATTAATAAATTCATTTAATGAATTTGTCCTTCTTGAATTTTATTGACACTTAAGCATTTTCAGATTTATAAATATAAAACCCCCTCTGATACAAATGCAGGGCCTGAGTGTTTAACTGGTTCACATACTGAACCCTATTGATCTACATAGATCGGATCCTGTTTCTTGCTTCCAGACCATACTCATGCAAGTTGTATTTGATAACAGTTCTGTGTATTTCAAGTATTAGCAATCAAACAATAACTTGTTCTGTAAACAGTCATTTTCATTTACTCTAGCTAGCAAAAGCCATTCTTTCC